TCTTCCACCCTTAAAGCATCAAACTTTATTGTTATTGTGTTTCTTAAGTGTGGACATAATTTAAGCTGTGTTATAACTGTTAATTTTATGTTTCCCCTCACTATACTATATCAACAGAACATTAGATCCAATAATCTATAACATGCTAAAGTTTCCAAACTGAATCGACAATACCGTTTGAAACCAACTCACTGTTATTAGTAATATTATTATTATATTTAATAATCTCAATTCGTGCTTCGAATATTTTTGACTTTATATCGTATATGTGGACAAATACCTCCGGTTAATTTAGTTTAAAATTTTAATTTTAACTGTATTTTGAGTAAATCAGATGCAATATTGTGACAAATGCTGACAATTCCATTCTGTATTATAAGTACTGTTTTTGGAATAAAGTACAATATTATTATTATTAAACCCAACATCTGAGCATCAATCCACCGAATATTTATGACATACTTTCAGAAGGTTTCCTCAAATGCTTTTATGATAAGTTTTGTCTGATTAGGGTCCTTAGAATTGAGTGTGTAAGGATAGATACTAACATTTTCAATGCGTGGTTTCAGCTATGTTTCACTTCCTCAAATGATAGAATTTAAAATCTATGGTTTCGTCAGATTTCAACGCATAGAACGAATGATAGATAGCATGACCTTTGAAATAACTTGACTTCACTGTGCTTTATTCCTTATAGTATTGTTGATGTGTACAAAAGGCTTAAGAGTTAGTCGTCAATGTTGACGAGACGACTGCAGTCTGCTCAAAGGTTTTCCAGTGAATAAAAATGTTGTAAAACTTGTTAAAGTTATAAGGTATGTTGAGCAGACGACAGGTGAACAGAATACAACAAACAATACAATAATGGTTGAAGGATTTCAGTCACTTTAGAAAGTTGTTAGTTATAATTTTGAATAAGGTGCGAAAATTTTGAGATGTAACTTTAAAATATTATGACAACAATAATGATGATAATAATAAATAATCAAAGAAATTAAGACCTAATTACAGTGAGGTTTTTGACCTCAATCAGTGATAAAACCAATCGGTAATTACTCTGAATTCCTCCAAATTATTATAATGCCTAAGCCAACTATATAATCATTTGAAATAGAATATTATTAAATAAAAAACTTCGTTTTGACAGAAATTATCTATAATTCATGATCAAATGAGATCGAAATGTTGTTCTAGATGCACAAATTCGAGCTTTTCACTGTTATCTCTAAAACCTTTGCTTCATAAGTTCATAATAGCATTTATTCAGTAATGTAACCTCATCCTACACAGCATCATATCTGTGTACCTTATTTTAATTTTTAATTAAATACATCATTGCAGACGTTCATTTAATGCAATAAGTTATCTGCAAACAAGGTAAGTGAGTATGGGAGGTTGTGACTCACTTGCCTAAAGATTCAGTATTTAGCCAATGAGTAGTCTGAGATTTTAGTTACACCTTGCCTAAGTCACCCTTTGCATTTCGATATCAAGTATCGTTATTATTATTTTGTTCCCTTGGGTTCCTAGTGGAACATAGCGCTTCAACTGCACGTCTCCACTTGCTTCTGTCTTCTGCTGTACTTTTCACTTGCATCCATGTTAGTCCATACTGTTTCAACTCTTCTTCACACGATCTCCTCCATGTCACAATTGCACCGACGAACCACTCGCCGCTTCCCTTTCGGGTTCCACTCGAGCGTTGACCTGACGCGCGATGTCACCCAATGGCCTCCTCAGCGAGTGTCCAATCCATCTCCACTTTCTCCTGCATATTTGTTGGGCGATTGGTTCTTGTTTTGTTTGTTGTTCCCATAGTTTCTTGTTGGTTCTTGTTCTTTCCGGCCATCTGATCTTGAGTATAGAACGGAGACAGCTGTTGATAAAGGTCTGCAACAGGCTGTTGGAAATATTCTTTGTGACCCGCCAAGTTTCTGATCCATCCGTATAGAAGAACTGACTGACTTGACGTTGAAAATCCGAATTTTGTTGTTGATGTTGAGTGACGAATATGTCCAGATTGTTTTCAGATTGATGAATGTGTTTCTCGATTCTTGATTTGACATCCTCGTCCGTTCCTCCTGTAGCTGAGACAATACTCCCTAGATAAGTGAATGAAGTAACCTCTTTCAAATCAAGTATCGTTAGTCTTGGCTTTATATATTGAAGATCAAATGACCGGCCAGAAAGGAATGGGTAACAAGAAACTCTGGTAGGCGGTAAACCAACCAAGAAACTATCGTCCAAAGAAACATGTACGAGGAAATGGAGATGGAATGGATACACACTGAAAAGACCGTCGTTTGACATCTCGCGTCTCAAATGGGAGAAGACGAGTTGGGCGTGTGGCCCAGGGTGACATGAAGGTGATCGTGTGAGAAGGAGATCAGAGATTAGGGATAGTCGTAGAGCCACCTAAAGAGGAGAGCAGAGGACAGGACAAAGTGAAGATGTGTTGTTGAGGCCCTATATTCCCCTCGGAACCCAAAGAAACAATAATAATGACTGTCAGTTTTCACAAACATGAAAAAATTGTTCCTGTCAACTGAGGTCTTACTATGTCCAAAGTATACATCTGAAGGTGGTTACATTTCATCATAATCTCTTCTAAAAAGAACTAAAAATTCAGATAACTATGTGTAACCTGTTGCAAAACTTTGAATGGTATAAATTACTTCATTTAATTACACGACTTAAATCGGTAAATTTCCGTGTAAACGAGAATAAACCTGTTAAATTGAACAACTTGTTCGACATTTCGTCTACAAGCATAAGCGAATAAACCTAATTAGGATTAGTCTTCAGTTTCAGGTGATGAATACAAAAGTCAGGGAAGCTTTACTGCATATCCCCGCCAATTGTAGCGTCGTAGCCCGTTGTTATGGTGATTTAATGACAAGTTATATTTCTGCACACTTTTTAAATGAAATTTAGCACTGAAAAGTCTCTTCTTGACGCACAATATTGTCGGTGGCAGTATACTCTTGATACTGGTGAATAAACATAGAGAAATAGTTATTAACTTTTAAATCAATTTTAATATTCCTGAAATATTCGGCCTCTTCTCACATATTGGCTATTATTGCGGATGCTTCAACGGTGTCTGAGGATCAATTCGAAGTTATTTGGTAGATGGTGACGATAGCAGTGGAATCCAGGATGAACATTTCGTCCCATCTAAAACTCATCAGTTGACTTACCTGCATCCCTCAATGAGTGATGAAATTCGCACTGAGACTCGAGCCCACCAGCCATGATACCAAATACCAAGACATTATCCGCTGGACCACTTGGGCCACGACAGCCACTCACCGAGGGATGCAGGTAAGTTCACTGATGAGTTTTAGATGGGACGAAATGTTCATCCTGGATTCCACTGCTAGAGACCATCCATCAAATAACGCCATGCTAACTTTCAGGCATCATTGACGTATTCGCATTAGGCGCCAACATGTCAGGACATTTCGGCTGAATAAAAACTGATTTACAGGAATTATGGAACAACTTATTCAAATAAACATATGACACATTATTTTATTATCCCCAGATAACTGAAACATGTTTAATTAAGTTTGCAGCCTTATTCATTGTGACATAGACGACATGAGTATCGTTTAGTGATCTACTTAAGTTTCATGTTCCACTGGATTCCTTCTCAGTCTCTGATAAACAAGCTCAGGTTGTAATTAATGCATGTGTGTATACTGTCGAAGACTTCCAAAATAAGATGAAACACCAGTCTATTTTGTTTGTTTGTTTGTCAACAGTTCTCTCGAAATGATATCACTTCGTGATAAAGTCTAACTGTAACTTTAATTACTCTAAAGGACAGTCAAGTTTATAAGAAAAGTATCATAAACATTTACATTTTTTCAGCGCCAAGCACACCCAGAAGCCAATAAATATTTATTTTTGGAAAGAAACATGATTCTGCTTCCCATAGGGAAACAGCATTAAGGATGATAGCCCTACGTTCTAACTTATAAACGATGTAGACACTTACAAACTGATATACAACGATGACTACTCATTACAGGAGAACTCATATCTTGTTGTCGCATCTTGGGATATATGACTGAGTACTGTTCACCAGTTGCTTTTTGTTTTCCTTATTTGATCACTAGACTGAGAAGATTATATCATCCTAGTTTATAAGATTTGGTTTTCGAGTTCGACCACGGATTGATATCAGTTAGAGAATCACTGAAAACCTGCAGAGAGTACTCAACAGCTTTTTCATCCCTGCTTTTTAGGAATCATCACCAGCACGCACCCACTGCCAAGGTTCGAAGCTAGCACCTTCTGGTTACAAAGCGAACTCGTAGACAATTCAACCACTGGGTCCCGATTCAATGGCTAGACCATGATTTTTAACTTCTAGTAATTCATGATTTTAGCGAGACCACCAACCAACGTCGTGACCATTGAGGTCCATCGAGTCAAGTATGAAGATGGATTTCCTGCTGATGACAATGGTTGATGGTCGTGATGAAATCACGAATTGCCAGGAATAAGAATTCACGGGCTGGTCAGTGAATCGGGTTCCAGTGGCTGAGTGGTATCTGAGCTCGTCTTGTAACCGGAAGGTCCTGGGTTCGAACCCCACTGGGGTGGATACGTACTTTCCAGGAGTCCCAAACTAGGACGGTGGTTGAAACAGCTATCCAGTACTGCAGTGGTGGTTTTCAATGGTTCTCTAACTGATATCAATCCGCGGTCAAACTCGACAAATAAATCTAATTCTTATAAATCAACCCTTAAAAATTTAATCTGATGCTCTCTAGTGAGTGACTCGCTACTGGGCGAAGTTGTCTGCACAGTTCTAGTGACTAGTCGTAACCAGTGACATCTTATTTTTTTTACTTTTTTTAAAGATGAAAATGTTGGGTAGCAAATGATCATCTTTATAGCTGTAGTATTAATCTATTTATATTTTGTTTTTAAATTTCCGGAAATTGTCAACTAAAAATAGTATTTTTCTTCTTTTCTTTTCTTTTTAGATGGGTCATTATTACTACTTCAGAGGACTAGGTTTACTCATCCTATTCTACCAGATGTTGTGTATTCCAATGATGAATACACAGGCAATTGAACGTTGTGTTTATGTTATAAGCGATGATGGCGAACTAATGCTATCATGTGATGCTGGAAAACCAGATATGATGCAACCAGGTTTTAGTATGCATGATGTTCAACAAAATGATTTCCCCTCCTCTGAAGCATATGGTAATGACAATGGCAACGAGGCTGACTACAGTTCACTTCAGAAACAAAAACAATCACGTAAACTTACAGCAGATGGTTATCAGCCTAAATCAAGTCAAGATGGTGGGTATGGCTATAGTCGACTAGGTAAACGTGGATTTGTTCGAATCGGTAAACGTGGATTTGTTCGAATCGGTAAACGCGGATTTGTTCGAATCGGTAAACGGGGATTTGTTCGAATCGGTAAACGTGGATTTGTTCGTATTGGACGATAAATGGATTCAGATTACGATTATAATAATAATAATAATAACATTAAGAACAATTGTTACTGTGATTAATAAAAATGATTCTATTAAAAAATTCAGACTATTTAAGAAGTTTCATTGCTTGAGTAAATAAATAAATAAATTTATTAATGAATCAAACAGTAGAACTTTTTCAACTAACGAACTGTAAAACTCTTTCTTCTTCTTCTTCTACTACTCCTACTGTTGAAGATGAATTTAAGGTTTTTTCTTCCTTCTTTGTTTATTTACTACTGAAGAAAGAAAAAATAATCATCTTCTCATAAGGTTTTCATTTTGCCCACGAATTTGATTTCAGTTAGAAAACTGCATTGAAAACCAGGAGAGAAAGCAGTGGACACCTGTCTCCTCCTCCTAGTTTGGGACTTTATTCAGCAGTACGCATCCATGAGCCAACTAGAGATAGAAATCAAGACTCTAAGGTGACACTGCGAGCTTCTTGACCAATCAGTCACTAACACGCAACGCAATTCTAACTTCTTCCAGTTCGCACCATATATATATATATATGTACATAGAGCTGCAGCTGGGTAATGTCATCGGTGGTTATCTCTCCTCATTCCCAACTTGGTGGATTCCTCTGATAAAAACTTCCCACGACAGCTTCAGGTAACTTCACCCTCTAGTGAAGTCACTAATGAGCCTAATATTATTATTATTGTTCCCTTGGGTTCCTAGTGGAACATAGGGCTTCAACTACACGCCTCCACTTGCTTCTGTCTTCTGCTGTACTTTTCACTTGCATCCATGTTAATCCATACTGTTTCAGTTCCTCATCACACGATCTCCTCCATGTCACCCTTGCACTGACGAACCACTCGCCGCTTCCCTTCCGGGTTCCACTAGAGCGTTGGCCTTACGCGCCAGGTCACTCAGCAGCCTCCTCAGTGAGTGTCCAATCCATCTTCACTTTCTCCTGCATATTTGTTGGGCGATTGCTTCTTGTTTTGTTTGTTCCCATAGTTTCTTGTTGGTGATTCTTTCTGGCCATCTGATCTTCAGTATGTAGCCAGCGAAGACAGTTGTTGATAAAGGTCTGCAACAGGCTGTTGGAAATACTCATTCTTTGTGACCCGCCAAGTTTCTGATCCATCCGTATAGAAGAACTGACTGACTTGACGTTTGTATTGAAAATCCGAATTTTGTTGTTGATGCAGGCTGAGTGACGAAGATTTCCAGATTGGTTTCAGGTAGATCACTAGTTTTCTAGCTGTTCCCAAGTCCGGATAAAGAGGGAGGGTTGGGGCGTGGTGCTAGCAACTCCACCCCGAAAACTTAACCAAATTGCTACAAAAACTTCAACGCACAAATGAGCCTAATAATGTTCCTGAATTTTTGAATTATGTTTGTTACCTACTTACTTTGAATCAAAAGAAAATTTCAGTCGGGTTAAACAGCAAATTTACTGAATACTTAGAATACCGTGTCAATTACACATCACTACTGAACTAAAGTAGACATTCTGAAGAATATAAAAGGAGTTTTTAACTAACTAAGACGTATAGTGTTGCATTCCAGACAAATATCAGGATGATCAACAGGTTGATATAGGACTTGACGCTTTCGACTATGACTGCTTAATCCCGAATTTTTCATTGGGTGAATAGTACTACGCATCTCAAAATATGGAGTTCAGCACTATCGGAAGATTTACCGATATCTTAGGCAATCTTTAGTTTTTACGATAGCTAAAATGATATTTCCCTAAGTTGGTTGAAGGATTTCATCATGAGATGACATCGACTAGAGAACCATTGGAAAACATTCAGAGAGTACTGGACAGCTGTTCCGTCAACGCAGTTTGAGACTTTTCAGCGGTACGCACCCACCGCCAGGGTTCGAACTCAGGATCTTCTGACTTCAAAGTTAGTGAGCTCGTAGACCATTAAGCCACTGGAACCGGATTCAATAGCCAGCCCCTGAATTCTAACTTCTGCCAATTCACGACATAGCGCAACTATTTAGCAATGTCTTCGATGAGTAACTGTTCTCACCTTCGTCCTGCTCTACGTTATTGGTCACGGCTTCCAACTAAAACCCTTGGTAACTGCCTAAAGAAAACCTCCAACTAACCAAACAAAATCCCTACAAACCAATGCCTGAAATTCACTTAATTCATATCTCACTAGTGACTGTTTTAGCCATATTTTAATTCAGTAGAATGTTTTTCTCCTCATATTATTCAAAGAAAACCAAAACCAAAAATAACTAACCTCCGTTTCTGTCTTGTTTTTGTCATAAAAATGCCGTGATAAAAAGACTTTTTTCAATGGTTTCACCTTTTTTCAAGATTACTTCCGCTAGACGAACTTTCATCGTAATGCGTATTATTATCATTATTATTATTATCACTATTTTACTAAGAGATGAGTTCCGCTCCATTCTTTTAAAAATTTCACTAGCTAATTCTTGCAAAAAAGTACATTTGTTTTGCATCAGTTTAGCTTTCGTCTTACCTATAATTATACTTGTTGAATAAAAGTGAACACGCAAATAGGCCTTTATACGTCCTCCACAATCGAACAAAACCTGGAAAGCACTTGTTTCGATACCACTTAAAAGCAGTAAATTGATATCCCAAACCTGGGGTAGATTACTGATATCTAACCCTTGCAGCATGTAATGCATTGGGATTTGAATTATTCAGTAAACTATGCAATAATTATCGTAAAAGCCTGTAGAATGAAATTATTTAGTCAGCTAAATTTAGTTGTCCATTTTCTTTTGAGTAGCATGAACTGTACAGAAATTGGAAGGGAATCTTTCTGCGAAAACAACTCAAACGATGATTAAAATGGTGGTGATTCAGTTGCTTCACAGCGAATTAATCCATGACTAACTTTCAGCTACACAAAATTTGTAATTTGTCAGTTATAAGTTGGGTGCCAGTCTCACCAATTAGTAGTAGCATTTGCTAGGCAGATTGAAGTGATCTAAATACTTTGGCGGGCATTTCGGTCCTTTAGGGCTTGATTCGACTAAGATCAGACACCCTAATTTTGTCCAGCTAATTGAACGAACTACTTATATCAGTCAGTCAGTAGTGTGCACTTGTTTACCTGGTTGAGATCTTTGGGATCGAACAGATTACGTGGTGTGATCTGAGAAACTTTCGGTTTCTCACGGAAACCGGAATGGGACTTCACCGGAAACTGTGTAACTTGTGAATAGCGAATTTAATTTGCAATTTGAGCTTTTGATTATATGTATTACCAGTTTGCCCAAGTACTTCGACAAAATTAAGTTGGTTAGAGGATATTCGGCTCTCTGACTTGAATTGAACAGGGTAGACGGTGGGTGAGCTCGACCCTAAACAAGCAAAACGGCCATCCAGTGTTTAGATCAGTTCCATCCGGATAGCAAGCATTAGTGGTTGACCTAAGTGTCATGAAACTACTCATTTAGAACAAGAAATAAAGGCTGGCAATATTGTTTTCAGTTAGATCTTCTTCAGGCTTTACTCTAGTTTGCATAGATTTATATATAAAAATTTTTAACCAATGACGGTGATTTTGTGGATCATATAATACTAACAATGTGTTACATGTTTTGAACGTCAGTAATAAAGATGATTATAATGATAATAAGGTTTATGCAGGTGGTGATAAAAATAAGGCAGGTAGCAATATGTGTATATGCAGACCATTCAATAAATAAATTAGATCAAATCTTAAAATTTACGTAATACTAAAGGTAGGTGAAGTGGATAGATAATCAGAGTTTACATATATATCATTACAACACGAAGGAAATGGAAAATAAAAAAGGGTGGGAGGGTTTTAATTAGAATTCACCTAGGCAAACAAGGAAGAGACAAAGGTAGAACAAACTTCTTTTGTTGAAAGCAAAGAATATGAGTGCTCTCTCGAATCAACTCCCATAGCTCCGGCTATTTGCAGAAGGAGGATTCGAAAGGCTTTGAAGGCACTACTTCTGTCCACCTGGTGACCGTTATAAATCAGATGAACCAAAATAGAACTTCTTGTAGATTTTATTTGACCTTTTCTGAACCATGAAGGAAGATGCTCATTATTGCGTTTGATGAGCTGTCTAGTCGCTCGCCCTATATCGCTGTCTCCACAGCTGCAACTAAATTTATAGATACACATAGAAGTGGCACAGCTAGGTAGCTTGTCTTTCACTTGAGCAATCATAATTGGTCGGCTGGTAAACGACAAACAAAGGGTGGCGGCAGTATAAGTCCGTTTTATCACTCTCGATAATCTAAGATGTAAGACTTTACCAGACACGTCCCCCTTGAATCGCAATTTTAGGAACAGTTGTTTCTTTTTAACTGTTGTCAATTTCTCTTTATTATACCGGGTGTTCCTGTGTCTCCTTAAAAATCTATTCGAATAACCCATTTGGACCTAACTCATTTTCTAGGGAGTCATCTGGGCAGATCTGTTCTGCTCTATTCGTTAAGCATCTGGCCATATGGATTTTGTATTGGATTGGTACAAAACTGAGGAAATGTGTATACTGTCCTAAAGATCTAGGTTTTCTATAGATATCTCTCTTGAGTGAACCATCCTCTCTTCTGCTCAATTGCACATTAAGGAAGTGTAGCCTATCATCATGTTCTCCTTCACAAGTGAAGATGAGCAGTGGATGTGCATCATTATATTTTATTAACATTTCATTCACTCATAAAATAACCAGTTAGTACTATCACTTTCAACTATCTACATCACACAAATATGTGTCTCATAGTAAGCAATCCGCCAATTAAATTTAGTTCACTGATAAGAGTACGGGACAGAAGTCTCCTTTAATATATTATTATTATTTTTTTTTTTTATTTTTTTTATTATTTTGATTACAGCTTGATTCCACACCGTATTTTCAGTACAAGTATGGAATTTTCAGCTTGGATATCGGTAGCCCAAATTTACAGGCCGACCATAGATATCGGGTGTGCGCCGCCAGGGGATCGAACCCCGGACCATGTGCATGGTCGGCGAGAGTCCTAACCACTGTGCCAGCGACGCACATGTGTAAGACTTGGGCACTGTGGTATTATGCAATTCCATATAAGTTTGTTTATTAGATATATGACACAGCGAAACAGTATTATTTACTGGATGACAAAGTTTTGAACACAAATTATTGTTCATAATCATGTGATTAATTATAATCACACAACTTCGAAACTTGAATTTTATAGTTTTCTTTTTTCTCTCCTATTCGTCGTTGTTGGGGT